CTGGAACAAAAATGTGCATAAATCTTAATGTGAATGCCAAAAATCTAATGTAAAAAATGACATTGTACTGCTATTCCCAACTTTGATTCTTCACTTAAAAGCATTTGACCGAAAACAGTACCACAGCTGTAGCTTTATATATTGGAATAAGTGCTATTTAAGAAATTGACAATCTAATCTAAAGAAATTCTAATCTTGGGTATTTAAATCGACCCAAAATGGTGAACCATTCTGTTTTGCTATTAAGTATGGTAAGGTTCAAAATCTATAATTATGCACAAGGTACTTTCATCCACGTTTGTCACTTAATTGGATCCAATAAATCCTTAATTGGAAAAAAAATGTAATTTAAAATTTCCAATAATCTTTGCCCCCCCCCCCTCTTATCCCAGTTTGTGAGGTTCAATTTCTAATCAACTCGTCTCACGGTCACATGGGGATGGGATGATAATACATTATGATATTACTACAATATTAAAGACAGCCATTTGCTTTAATCATTTTACTGCTAAAAAAATATCAGCAATAATGTTTGCTACCCAGTAAGAGTGATTAGGCAGAAAAGCCACTGTTATTATTAACTTTTGCTTTTAACGGTATGACTACATTGAAGCAAGACCAGCTCATGAAGCATCTGCACATTCCCAGCTCTGCCTGCATGCTGGAAATTGTGATGCATTGCATAGCAGCTAATGTGGTAAATGTGAATCAATGATTTAATCCACAAAATTTTGAATAACATCATATATTGCTGCATAAGTATAAACAACTTTGATTATGATATAATCTGAGAAGCCTTGTATATTTCACCTTATTAGTAAAAAATGAAACCGTGATTACAAAAGAAAAGTTTATAGAATGAACAGTAACAAAGGAGCATTTCACACAGGTTATAAGAGATGTGAAAATCATGTTGCATGTTATAGATGAAGCTCCCATCTGTACTGAGCCATTTTAGTTTAACAAACACTGAGCTTCTAGAGGTGTGAGCAAGGTTTTAAATTATAGCATAAGGCCTGATGGCAAAGCCAATCAACAATTCATTAAAACACACATAAAACCCAACAATGAAAAAGTAGTCTTGATTTTCTAACTGGTAAAGTTACATAAACAATTGTGAGTTATACTGCATGGATTTTGAAGGGGAATGCCTTGTTTAATTTCTAATTCTTTGAGAAAGTAAAAGTAAATGATTAACAGTAAAGCTTACAACAATTTCCATAAAGATTTTCATAGGACAAATTTAACAAGAAACTACTTGCATTCTGGTATAGTGAGACTAGTTAAATTTTCAGGTGATGCATAAAAAGCAGCAGCAAATACCGAAACAATAGCAAGAAGACAACTCATGTATCAGACAGACAATTAGCAAAATAATGTTGACAAGTGCAAAATGATCTAATTGGAACTTGTACACATCTCATGGGTGATTTTAAACTGCAGGAAATAACACAAAAGGGATCAGTGTACTTATTTCCTTATCAAATCAATTTGGGAAAGAACTAAGTTTGGCTACACAACAAAGTGTGGAACTGCTTTACAATGCATTTAGAACAAGGCTCAGGTTGGTGTGCTATATCACAATGAAGATCGAGCCTTGGACAGAGTTCAAAGTGCAACAAAAAAGATTCCTGGTGTACATTGATTGTCATATACATATTACTTAAAATAAATTATCTTCAGTTCAGAAGAAAGGAGACAATTTGGTTCAGTATAGAAAATCCAATACATTACAGGAGAGGTCACCCACAGGGACTGTTTCAAACTGAGAAATGAAAACATGTACAGGGGAACACAATCAGAAAGTAAAGGGAATCAAGCAGGACACAAAATAGGAAGGAATTCTTACAAAGTTCTGGGTATCTGGACTATACTTCCCAACCAAGTGGCTGTGGATCAAAATCTGAGTTGTGTCAAGAAATAGCTAAAAAAGTTTTTGATTCACTTAGCTACAAACTAGACTAAAGTTGCCACATCCCTACTGATAAAATCTTCACACTTGCAGGGGAAACAGAATCAAGACTTGCACCCTTCAGAACTGGTCTCGACAGGCCATCCACTATACCTCACGCAGCAAAACCACAGCAGCAAAGGCAGAGATAAAGCATCAGATGACAGACATATGGAGCTCTCGCCCATCAAACTGAAAGCTCACATATGTCTGGCATGCCACTGTGGTCACTGCCGCACACTCAATTGATAACTTCACCAAAATAAACTAACCCCAGTAATACTTTGGTAGTTGCTAAATTGTACATATATAAATTTTATTTGAATTAAGATCAGAAGGGGTTTGCCTTGCAAAGCATCACCTTCTAAATGGAATTGTATACAGATAAATGGCAAATAAAAGTGGTCAACCTGACCAATAAATATTGCATTATAATCTTGAACATTGAAATGAATTGTACTTAAACTCTGGAAATTGACACTGCAAATAGGTATAAGTGTGCTTGTCTGTACTTGACTGTATCCTACTTAACAGAGCACACTCCACCCTCAAGTTTTTACTGCTCAACCCAAAACACAGAACTGTAAAACCTCATTATAAGTTTAACATTTTACAAAGTCTTCACACAGTTTTAACTTAGTTACTAATGACAGCACCAGTAATACAAGCTAAAATTCTTTAGATCTGTGCAGGTAATCGACATCTTGTTCAAATGCTCACTCACCTTAGTAAATTACACATTAAGGAAGTGTGAGAATCCTTTGGGCTGTCCTGGAGAGAAATTCCAAACTTGGTCAAGTTATTGTACATAACCTTTAAGACATTTTATAAATTAAAGACCATCTATGTACCAACTATCAAGTGCATTTAATTATACTTTCATGTGTGACTTTGAAAATGTTGGTGTTAAGAACATTTACCCTGAAACTTTACAATGAAAGACACAAAACTAGAAGTGATTTGTTTAAATAAAGCATTAAAATTAAGGTTTGCAGTCGTCACTTTCAGCAGGGATCCATTGGACAAATTAAGGAAATAAGTGAAGAAAGTAAATGAACTTTGGTCTAAAAATAAAGGCGTGAGCAAAATAATAAAAATAAAAATCTACATTATATCCCCACAAGTTATTTTTAAAGGGGAAAACATGCAAAGTTAATTAAAACCAGACTGAATATGGAAATGTCTAATCATATTTAAGTGCTTACTATTTCAACAGATTCCTTCCTTACCCTTGCTTACAATAAATATGGCAATACAGTAGTAGAAAACACCTATTCAGCTGTCACAATTTAGTAATTTAGCTGATGCTTTTATCCCAATTGGTATTTTTAAACCCATTTATACAACTAGGTATTTTTTCCCCAAATCATTCCAAATAAAATATCTTGCTTAAACTACAAGAGCAGTGCACCAACTGGAACATGAACCTATAAACATCCAGTTGGGAGTCCACAACCCACAACACTAATCCACGTTAAGATTTATATCCGACTTTCCAAATGCCAACTTTCTTATAAAAGAAAGTCAATAAGGCTTCACAGGATCCCCGTTTAGTGAAATATAGTCAAGTCCAGGAAGACTGAGCATCCCTGCTTAAACTTGTAATTACTGTATTACAAAAAAAAACAGTTGTGTAATCTTCATGTCTCATTTATACTGGAGGTGGCAAAACTGCAATCATGAAAAACAAACTCTAGGCTAAAGTTGCAAGATTGTCGGGTTAAAATACAAGTAAAGGGGCTTAGGGATCAGTATTCTTTGACTCATCTTTCTTGATGAGAGAGAAGAGCGACGAAGAGGTCAAAGGAACAGAGTGCATGTCAGAGAGGATGAAGCTGCAGATTCTTTTATATTGAGGTGACCAGGAAGCCAAGGATATTTGTCACAATGAGAAAAGTGGCTTCTTCATTGCATTGGGCCTCTAAGAAGGCATCATCCACAAGAATTCAGAAGTCCGGCTTCAAGAAAGACTATGGAGTGCATGGAGAATTGTCAATGAGGCTGCAGTGATGGGTGTCAATCAAACTCAATTAAATAACCATCTAACACTCATTAAGGCCCAAAACCATTTTTTTCATTGCTCTAAGGGTGTTAATCAGCTTTAAAGAGTATAAGTTCTGTTTATCTGACAACAGTTAAATTATAAATAAGCCTGAACTCTCATCAGCTTTTGACCCATCTTTGGTTTGTTGAACGCTATCCTATTGTTATAAAAATGATCCTTCCAATTTCTGTAAATATCTTTTTGACCCTATAACACATAGGTATATAAAACTTGACATTCTACGAACATTTTAGTGAAGTGCACTACACGGCAAGAGCAGAAGATATAGTTTTCAAAATAAGGGGCACCTCAATAAACAACACTCATCTTCAAAGTTTCAATCCAAGTTAAAGTGGTTGCAGAAGGAAAACTGTGCAACAAAAGCTAAAATAATAAAAGGTCACCATCTAGAATTTAAGTCAGCTATGTCAATTTACTGTAACTACGAAAACAAAAGACATTTGGAGTACTGTGGCAATGACATGTTGGGAAAGTTACAGCAAAATTATTTAAACATAAATCATGTAATAACTACAATGCCTGTAAGCTGCAAATATTTCATTTTGCAAATGTAAAGTGAATTTTACAATAGGTTTTAACGTCTAGTAAATTTCTGTCTAAACTACATATTAAAATATGAACAAAAACAAAATGAGCTCAAAGAAATGACACAGGAGGCAATAAATTGAGACGACAAGTAAATAAAAGGCTAAAGCACTCCAATACCATTAAAATAGTTTTAATGCTGTTGCAGATCCAACATGCAACAATGTGCATTTGTCCCAATATACTTGTGAAAATCGTATAAACCTGTGGAACATTTACAGTCTGCTGCTGAAAAAAAGGGTTAAAATTTACTTCCCAGTTTGTTAAAATGTTGGATGTGAACTTATTTTAGGCTGTAATCATAGTGTGAAATTCACAGTGCCGATGCTGTTTTTAGGCGCGCACACACACACACTCACACGCACACGTATAGTGTAGAAGAAAATTAAACTTATTAACCTCAGCTTCAATGTAAAGTTTCCAGAATCTGCCAGAACTTGGGAACTGGGTGACAAGTCGTTCATATGTCTTCCTTGCTTTGTCTATAGGTTGGTTCTAAAAAGTAGAAACCATTTAAACAATTTACATTTTTCACAAAAAAATTGCAGTCCTCCAATATGTACATTATGTTGAACCACAGTTTTCCCCATAAGATGACCCCTCATGCCTCCCTCATTATCACCCCATTCCCATTACCCCAGTTATAAGGAAATGTAATCCTGTGTCACTAAACCTGGGCTTCTCGTATCAGAATGCTCCATGCGTCAAGGTCATATGGATTTTCTTCCAACTTCTTTTCAGCTTTCTTCACCTTCTCGGGGATATACTCTGCAGCCTGGAAGAGTTTAAACGACAAACGAACAAAGCACATTATTGCAACACATGCAATGAAGGAACAGGGAAACAGCTTTTCATGTCAGCCTCCACACAGTTTAAAGGGTGACCTTCTGATTAGCAAGCAGTAAGTTACTTTTGTGCTTCCCGATACACACATTTCATAAAGCCAGTCACATCTTCCAGCAAGTAACTGCAGAGGTTTGATGCACCACCTGGCAAACCTAGAGGAGACTATCATGGAGAGAAAACGCTACCTACCAATCATGGGACAATTTAGGTTTTCCCATGCATAAGATAAAACACTAAACACCAGATTTTGTTCGCAGGCATGATTCTATATCCTGGTTTGGAACAGAACAAAATGTATCGGACCTCATACGCAAAACGCCAGACATTCGTGTAATGTCAGTAAAAAAAAAAGTTTGACAATACCCCCAGACCACTACTTTACCATCAACTATGACCATTCAATTAGCTTGCAGAAATAATTAACCAATCTGAAAAGCGGTGTATTCAAGACTTAAAAACTAAACGTGCCCGTAACTACTGGAATAAAGTTTCTTTGAGACAATGAATTCTCAAAAATCAAAACTACGAGCTGTAAAGCTCTTCCATGTGCGTTCTCCCGACCATAGTGGCAAAGCAAAGGCAGAAAGGGGCAAATTCAGTACAAAAGCACTGGGCATTGAACTAAAACCGCGCCTGGTCAAAAGAAGTCCTGTGATTTTATAAATGGATTACGTGAACCACACTGGGCGTCGTTTGGACGTTTCAGGAAGAAAACATCTCAGTATTTCCGCCAAGGAAAATCTGTTCACAGGGCAGATCGAATCGTCGCGGCCTGTGCAGCAACGTTTATCCTCTTTCTGGATGAATAAGAATGGCTGACAAAAATTACGATTTCAGTCATTATTTGAAAAAAAAACTAGGATACTTGCGTTAGAACTGCAACGTGCAGAACAGGCTGAGATTCCTGATTAACAAGCCAATATTTAATGAGACTCCCCCCCCCGAAGAAAACATCTGTTGCTCTTACGCTCTTAACAACGGGAAATGGAGACCGCACTATTGTCCACTGAGACACTGTGTTTTTTTTTCCCCAAGTCAACCCAAAACGATCGTGGTGTGCTCGCGTGATTCGGATCCATGAAGTAGCTGGATTTAAAGCATGCAGGCCCCGGCCATGTCTGCGATAAAAACAGTTACCTATCCACCATAAAAACGTACCTGGTCAGTCGCTCCTTCTGCAGACATTATTTCTAAATTTAAAACAGAGAACCAACAACAAACAACGTAGGAGGCGTAGTCTGCGATTTAAAAAAATAAAATAAAAACTCTTTGCATAGCTAGGGTGCCTCTCCCCTTGTTCAAACACAAGCTCTGCTAAAATGGCGTCTCTATAACTGCCTCCAGCAGCGAAGCGGGACTCGCTTGGCGAGCGTATGACGTAATCACTTCTCGCGTAACTGTGAAGAACGGAACTTCGCGATGATGTCAGGAAAATTAATCACGTGGCCCCCAAAATAAGACTGGAAGTGAAAAGTCTTTTGCACTTGATGATGTCAATTAAATATTGTGTAACTAAGGTTAAGGATGTACCATATAAAATAATTAATCGTATTTACCCAGTGAAGACCCTGGTTGTGCAGCGATTTTAAATTAATATAGATGATTATTGTGTTTTTTGTGAAAGTAGCTCTGAAACTATTCAACATTTATTTTGTTTATGCCCTATGGTAAAACATTTTTGGACTGATTTTTAGTTTTTTAATTAATTTTCAAACATATTAAAAAAGAGCCTACTATTGATATTATTTTTAAGAAATAGACGTTATGTTAAACTTATAATATGATAAGATAAGAAATAATATGAAAATATCGTTTGTAATGGGCTTAATTATTATATTGGCACGTTATTATATACACAAAGTGAAATGGTCTGGGAAGAGTCCTGTGGTTGAAGATTTTAAAATAAATGTAAAGGCGTATTTACAGGCTATTTCGAAATGTAAAAACATGAAAGCGGTGCGGAGCTTATTTACCCTGTTTAAACTTTTTCCATAATGTGTATTTGTATTGTAGTATGTACCCCTGACGATGTTTTTGATATGTTTTATGTACTCTTGTTTGTATTGTATTTTCTTTTGTTGTTTAAATAAAACGTTTAAAAAACGAAAAAAAGTATTTTGCACATTTTGAAGAGGGGTGGGCCTCCAATTGAATTTTAATTGCTTAATTAAAACAGTTATTTGGATAACAGGGACAGATGTTAATTGCAACATTAAAAACAGCATTTTAGCCCTACTGACAGTCAAAGATACAGCAGTGGAACAGGAAAACAACCTTTTATTTCACCATGGTGATTGGTGAAAATTTTGTTTCAAAACTCACTATAGTCATTCCGAGTTTGGATTGAAGTAAATCACAAAAACACACCTCTAAAAGATATTGAATGTCCCATACATAGCTTTCAAATTGAAAAGTGGCGCCTTGCTATATTTAAATAATTAATGTTGAAGAAAGTGTGATTTATTTAAAATTGATAAAGTGAATGATGGGGGATGTGTTTCCTGAGGTTTACTCCAAAGTTCTTTATGTGCGATTGCATTACATTTTCTCAACAGCAGAGGACGAGCGATCGCACCCGAAGAGACTACAAACTGAACAAGGCCAGAGCAAACGAGAGCGGAGCTGCCGCACGACACACGTGTTGAGCCAAATGTCGCACCGTGTCACTCCAGCGGTCTGTTTCTGAATGATTGATGACAACAGGTGTACTAGGTTACTCTCTGTCACTGTTTGTCACACGCAGGACACGTGTTAAGTCCATTATGTGCAGGGTACGCCGAGTTAAGGTATCGTTTATTTTGAAAATGAGTACAACAGTCAAACGGACGGACGCACTGCAAATAATTCAAATTCCTTTCAGAAACTAACAGCTGATACGGTGATGATTCAAATGTATTGGATTCTGTAAATCTTTTGGGTAAATTGTACAAACTCTGTACAAACATACTACGAACTCTGTGTAAAGATAATGATGGTTCATAATAATTGCACCCACTGCCTGTCGGGATAGGCTCTGGCTCCCCTGCAACTCTGAATTGGATGAAGCGTTTAGAAAATGGACGACTGGATGTATATGGCACATTTCAGGTCCAACTCAATAGTGCACCAACAAGCAAAGCAACATGTGGTGACACCACAACAGTAAAGCTCTTGTGCAGACTGGAGACTTGTACTGGGGGGTGAATGCTATACTGCATCTGCTGCCTCATCATCTGAATGACAGTTGCCAGTTGCATTAAATTACTCCTGACCTTTAGTCGTTTGCTCTGCAGTTTAAATTTAGTTTCAGAAGGTCTTTATTAGATAAATGTACCACACACAGCAAACAATAGCATTTTGCAGATTAATCTAATCCAGAAACATCTTTCTAATTGAAAGTTGTTGTTTTTTTTTTAAAAAAAAAAACAACCACCTTTAGTCAGATGTCATCAGATCTCAGAGCCTGAGCAAGGCTTATCGGTACTAGAAGGGGGGGCCCTCAAAGCAGAACACGGCTGCTTCTCTAAGTGGCGTCAGTGGACCAGTAGGTGGCGCTCCTCCCTCTGGAGAAACATTCTGAAACCGCGGCCCAAGACTGTTCAACGAAGACACTGCACGGTACTGGAAATGGTGTCTGGAATAGGACACTAAACTGTGGTCCTGAGTACTAGGCCATTTAAAGATCCCGTAGCACTGTTTGCAAGATTTGGATGAAGTGGATCTCTTGCCATACAGAAGGCAAAGTGGTTGGGGATCCTTTGGGTTACCTGCTGTCTCTGTACAGGGGTGCTGTCCTCTTTGTGACTGGCACTGCTATTAATATTTGTGTATTTCCATTTCTAATTGAATGGTGCTTACTGGAAAGTATATATTTGTCCTATTTAACATAAAAATCTTTGGCCGTGAACAGGAATTTCATAATAATGGGCCACTATAATATTCCACTCATTTTCTGATACTTCCAATTCAAGGTCACAGTGGAGTTGGCAAGCAACAGACGCGAGGCAGGATATACCCTGGACAGGACGCCAATCCATTGCAGCCCAGACAGACAAACACTCACACCAAGGGCAATTTTCCCAGAAGGCAATAAACAACCGAGTTTAAGAATCTACATTTTTGTAAATACAATTTGAGACGGTGTTTCACAACATTTGCATTGTCACGTCATCAACTCGCATATTAATAACACAATTCGGTGGCGTTTCTCACCCCCTGCCTAGGTGGCGCTAGCAGGTGGAATGAGGCTGGGAGGCGGTCCGGTGAGCTCTCTTTGTCAGACCGCCCTCCTCTGTTGTTTTGAATTCGCAGCTGCTCCAGCGCAGTTCCTCTGAAGAAGCTGCGCGGCTGTGCAGATTTGCAGCGTGAGTGTCTCCGCTTGAGTTCATGCAGACGCCCAACTTGGTCAGATTTGCTGCGGTTTCTGTGCAGATTTCCGTAAGTCCAGTGTCGTGAATCCAGTAAGGGGGTCAAAATGGCTACCGCCTCAGTGAGAGTGTTAGAACATATGTATTTTAAAGAAAATAAAACATATGCAGTGATATTAACTTCTTCTTTTTCCATCCCATTAGTTGGACATCTCTTTTGAGCTTTACAACTTTTATGATTAGAAAGCCGTAACGGGAAGGCCGGTTTTCTGATTTTAACCTTTGGCGTTTATGTAGCTGCAGTGCATGGTCACTGGTGTGTATTTGCCCAACCACGGCATTTGAACTCATCTGAAAGCGCACAGATATTGCGTTTTAATACAAAAAATCAATCCTTGTAATTGCTTCTGACATAAGTAATGTGTACTTTACACTCGAGTTTGAGTAGAAATGTGTGGAATGTATGATAAATTGCTTAATGTTCAAAAGTGCAGAATAAGAGAAAAGAACTCCTAAAAAATCATCCAGTCTTTGCTGATCTACTGCTGAAGATGAAGACCTTCCCAAGATTCTTCCAAAGACCTTTCTTCTGTTATTCTAATCTTGGTTGCTCCTGAAATCTTTTGCCAAACATTTTAGAAATCTTTTTTATCTCCTTGATTCAATGTTGAATGCCTATTTCCATTTAACATTTGTATTATGCTAGTGATGATAGAAGTTCTGGTTTGTGCTGTAAACCATTGATGTAATTCTATTTTGTTATGCTAAGCATTCATCTTTTCAAGTTCCTTTGTGGTGTCTTTAAGTTTGTATTCAGCATTGAGGTTTTACATTCAAAAAACAATACAATCTATATACAATATAAGTAATAAAAATAGAACCTATGAATTTCCTATCACAGAGTGAGCATATTCCTCCAAATTAGCCATATCATAATGCACAAATTTACTTCAATAATTAACATTTTTAAATCAATTCAATTGAGATATTCTTCTGTTTATTCCAAAACTCCCTTGCTACCAAAAAAGAATGCTTGCAAAATCAATAATCAATAAATAATAAAGTGGCTGTCTGTTCTATATGTCAGAGCCCATGAGCACAAGAAATATCACAAGTATGAGGTGGTCACTTGGGTCATGTTGATCCACTTGTTGGTAGTTTATGAATCCAATGTCTTCACCAGGCTGTTCCTTCTACAATATGGTTTGGTCATTTTTCATCTAGGCAAGAAACTCAGTTCCTGGAGGGCTTTGTGTCTTCTGGGTTTTATTCCAATGGCAGTAGTTAATTAAACACTTAACGCAGTTAATAAAACACTTCTCGTAATTATATTCTAAATTAGACATCTGTAGGCTTTTATCAAGGTCTTTTACCATTGATGAAACATGACATTCACTTCATTATAGGTACAGTTACCTATAAATCACACCAGAGCCTACTTTTGAAGTATTACAATTACACAGGTAATTAAATTATTAGGCTAACAAAATAATCAAAGAAGAATTAATTAAAACCCTTATCACAAAAATATGTGACTATGATACATGTTCTCATAGTATATATGCAAATACATATATTGCAGATTTTTCTATATTATAGAATACACATTAAAACTAAGTTATTCGTTTGAGGAACTATCCATAGAGTATCTATATAGTAATTGTTTTAAATGAAGGCAGTAACTTAACAAAAGATGGAAACAAGTAAAAGAAATTGGCACTTGAGATTCAAATGAAATGAAATTTCACAGGCTGAAGGAACATGACCTTCCTCACAGTGTTGATCAGCTGCAGGGACACAATAATAGATAATGAAAGTTATGCTCAGTGGATTGTGAATTTAATCTGTCACAAGATTTTTGTATTTTGCATTTGTATCATTTCATGTACAGTGTCACTGACACAATAAGCATTTGCAAACATTTGTCATCATAAAAGGTACCTTGATATTGGACAGATATGTACTGTTTTTTTGTACATTCATTAGTATTGCTTGTGTTTTATATATGTA